TTGACAAAACTGTTTCTCATTTGTCTGGAACTGAAAAAAAAGATTAAAACCTCTTCTTTTCTGTATAATAAGTAAGGCCAACAAAAAGAGCTATTGTGAACAATGGCTTTAACTGTGAAATGAATGGTAGTTACATACTGAGGCTATTTGGATTTTTCTCTAATTAAGGAGGGTAAAGCCAGAACTTCTGAGTAAAATATGGCATCAGACTATTGACATCTAGACTGTCATTTCCCAATTTCCCATCAATGATTGCCAAAAAAAAGGATACAGAAATGCAAAAACAAACACCACTGCTGAAACCCAATGAAAAAGATTTTCATTATTTGAAGATTTGGTAGGAAAAGATGAAACACAAGTGTGAAACACAGTCATTTGGCCTGAAGACAACCTGATGGGTCCCCAAATGACAGTGGAGAGTTGGGCTAACCTGGCCCGTCATTGGTCCTCAACGTTGGGCTGCCGGAGCCACACAGCCAAGGAAACTAAGCATCCACTGCCCTTCTCAACAATGGCAATCTTGTGAGCAAGCCAGAGTCCTGCCTGCTCCCACTGCCTTGCCCACCCGTGCCTCTCTCTCTCTCTCTCTCTCTCTCTCTCTCCCTCCCTCCCTCTCCCTCTCCCTCTCCCTCTCCCTCAATCCAAACAGAATCAGAAATAGCCAGTAAAAGGACATGGCAGTAATTGGTTGCATTCTAAATAGCAGAATTTGGATAAAAAGACTGTTACAGGTGGGAGCAGGTACTGGCTCCCATGCATACTGTAACTGTCTTATGCCAGAGTATAGCAAACTAAGTCAATTTTTAAAGCATAGACCAGGACTTTGTAATCAAGAAGAGTCCATCTGTACAGAGACATGTTCCATGAAATCTTGAAAGACACCAGAAAAGGCATCTTACAAGACACCTGGGGTGGCTCAGTCAGTTCAGCATCCAACTTTGGCTCAGGTCAGGATCTCACAGTTCATGAGTTTGAGCCCTGCGTCCGTCTCTGTGCTGACAGCTCAGAACCTGGAACCTGCTTTGGATTCTGTGTCTCCCTCTCTCTCTGTTCCTCCCCTGCTCACACTCTGTCTATCTCTCTCTGAAAAATAAATAATGATTAAAGAAAAAATTTTTGAAGACACCATAAATTGAAATAAAGCCTGTATACAACAAACTTCGTTCTAAGTTAAGATTGGCATACTGCTAAGGTTGAAAACAAACTTTTCCTGGGAATCAGCAATTTTGTCCTAGGTACATACTGACAGAAATGTATGCACACATCTATTGCAAGATATACACATGAATGTTTATTAAAAATAGGCAAGACTTGGGGCACCTGGGTGGCGCAGTCGGTTAAGCGTCCGACTTCAGCCAGGTCACGATCTCGCGGTCCGGGAGTTCGAGCCCCGCGTCAGGCTCTGGGCTGATGGCTCAGAGCCTGGAGCCTGTTTCCGATTCTGTGTCTTCCTCTCTCTCTGCCCCTCCCCCGTTCATGCTCTGTCTCTCTCTGTCCCAAAAATAAATAAACGTTGAAAAAAAAATTAAAAAAAAAATAGGCAAGACTGGAAATGAATACCCCAAATACTCATCATTAGTAGAAAGCAAAAATAAATTTCATTGTTTTTTTAATCTTTATTTATTTTGAGAGAAAGAAAGGGAGCATACAAATTTTATCTTATTTTTCATGACAAGAACTGACTTTTTTGATCTCACAAGGTCAGACAACGTTGACACTGCTGTCTGTGCATTATCTCATTAGTCGTAACAATAATCTTATACTGTTGATAATATTATTATATTTGCTTAAAAGCTGTGGGTATGACGCTGAGCAGTGAGATTAAGTAACATGTCTATGAACACAGTTAATTAAAACACCAGTCTGTCTAATGCAGAAATCAGTACCTTAACCAGTGTATCCTACTGCATCTTACTAACTCAAGTGTATGGTTAACATGTAATCAGTCAGCAATCACTTACAGATTAATGACCTGACCTAATTTTATATCTGCCTGACAGAGGACTGTGGTAAACTCCCCAAGATAACAGGACCCTTAGTGGCTACTGGCACCTGTTAATAAGTCTTCCTCTGGTACACCTGGACATTCTTCAACTCTATTCCTGCACATATTAGATAACATTGTAACTAAACAATTACATTCCTGCACATATTCCTGCACATATTAGATAACATTGTAACTAAACAATTACATGCCTACTACTCCCCAGGCAGGATAAAATCCCTAAAAGTCTTTGTGTCCTCTTATTTTTATCCCTCGAGTTTAACACAGTACATAGCACACAATACGTGTTCGATGAATGCTTGTTAGATTGAAAAGAATAAATTCTGGAAAACATATGCAGGTCACAAATAGTTACTACCATAATTTTATTTGAAAAATTCTCAAAAATGTGTTTTCATGCAAACAGGCAGACTTCTATTGCTGTTTTTCAAATGTGCTAAAATCTTTGCAAAGGGTTCTTTCTCCATGTGAGCCGTAACATGCATATTTTTGGGATACTCTTTAGGAAGACCAGCTTTGCTGAAAGTACCTGAGCTTTATGGTTTGCAATGCATTACATAATTAAATTGTTTTCAACACTGTTGAAAGATAAGGTACCTGATGGATGACCAGCATCCAAGGTTCTCTGAGCAATACTAGTTTTATTCTATCTTCTGGGAATAATAAACATGAAAACTCTGTTTCTAAGTTAAATTCATTCTGCATTGTAATTGGAAAGCATTTCACTATTCCAGGTACCTTAAGAGAGGAGTCTTGATTTCATGTTCAAACAACCTTATGATTTCAAACAATTAAAGAAGTTGTTCTTTTGGTGACTAAACACAATGATATATAATAAATTTCCTGTCAGTTCTGCTTTTAAGCAACAGATTTGAGCAGGTTAATCAGCATCTTGGTTAATGGGTGCCATATATATATTAAAATAAAATAAAAACTCATAACTTTAAACTTTTATAGAGCCTGTACAATGTTTTTTTAAACATAATTCAGGAGATATTTCCAAATCTCACCATGCTTCTGTATTACCATTTCGATAGCTATTTTTCATTCTGCCTGGTAAAACTCATCTAATAATTTAGAATTCATAAAATAATTAGACAATAAATTAGAATTCTAGTTAATATAGTTTGATTGTGAACACATTTTTCAGAAACAATAAAGTTGGGAATAATGCCTAAGGTCACTTATTGTGAAAAAAATGGCGATTTTTTAATGGTAAAACAGCTGTTTCTCTGGGAGAGTTTAGCATTTGTTTTGCTTAGACTTAGAACAATGGGTAACAATAACTATCAGAGTTCCACTTTCAGTCTATGCTGCTCTTAAAATATGAAAAGCACATAAAATTGATTAAATACTATCTTGTCTCCTCACACTTTTCCTACCTAACCCATCATTTACTTCCAGGTCTTCTCACTGAAGGACTCTTGCCTTTGCCTAGGATTAAATATGTTTTTAATATCATAAAAATCAGAAGACACTCAATAATGAACTGGAGGTCCACCTGGGTGGCTCAGTCAAACGTCTCAGTCTTGATTTTGGCTCAGGTCATGGTCTCAAGGTTCATGAAGTCAGTCCCCCATCTGGCTCTGTGCTGACAGTGCAAACAAAGCCCACTTGGGATGTTCTCTCTCTCCCTCCCTCTCTGCTCTTCCCCTGCTCATTCTCTCTCTCTCTCTCTCAAAATAAATAAATATTAAAAATTTTTTAAATAATCAACTGGAGAGGGTGGTATACTTTATGCAAAAGAAAATGAAGAAGGAAATTTGTATATGATTTTATTTTAGCCCAGTCCTTGTTGAAATTACCATGAAGATGTCTGGAGGCAGTGGATGGTAGGTATAAAACAAAGGGCACACCATGGCTATCAGTTCTGCTGTAATTTTCTGATTATTTATCTTAACCTGTTTTAATTTGATTTGTTGTAAATACTGGAGGCGAGAGGAGGAGATGTGTCAATATGATCTCTTCTTGGTTTTCTATTCTTGAGGTCAGCCTTACCTCGACACACAGGTTTATGGATGTTGCCTTCCTTTCTTCCTCCCACAAATATTTATTCATGCCCACTCTGTATCTGATTTGGGGTGAGATGTCTGGAATAATCTGAGACAAAACAGTAAACAATCCTTGATCAGGCAGATGGTAAACAAAAGATAATAAATTGTTTCGTGTCATATAACATGTTAAGAGTTAGTAAGTGTGAAGGAACTTGAAGGGTCTTGAGAGCAGTTAAATGCTGTAATTTATGATGTGGAGGATCACTCAGGTATCTCAACTATCATGCAAGGTGTATCTTGCAAGGCAGGCATTTGGTGGAAAATTGCCAGTCTATAAAAAATAGCTTGGGCGAATGGGCAGAGCAAGGTGAGGGCCATACAGCAGTCTTGATGAGCAAGTGATTAAGCTTGATAAGTAAGCTGTCTTAGTTGGATCACAGTTTTATATCCACTGGACAAGTATCTCTGGAGCAAGCAGCTCAGGAATTATTTATCAGTTCAGTGTTGTTGAACAGAGCTTTAGAAATTATACCTATCTGAATATTATTTAATATTGGAAATTATGTTGGCTTCAGTACTTATGTTAAGACTTAATGTCTTAATTTTTGCAATGGGAGTTGTAAGTATTAAAAAAGATCAAACATGTAAGGCACTTATGTCTGAGCCTGATGTTGAATAAATACATACTCAGCATATGCTAGCTGATATTATTTTTACAGGACCTTACTAAATAAAACTTACTATATGCATTTTGATGCCAGCATCAGAGAACCCAGGGTCTGGTATCAGACTGCCTAATTTCAAATTGTAGAACATCGCTTGCTAACTTGTCTCCTATTACAGACTTCAGACTTTCTTTAATCAACTTTCCCATATCTCATAACTGGAATGTAAAAACACATTTTTGCTTTTGGAGTGCCAGTATCCAAACCAAAGTGACTGAGACCAAAACGGTGTGTTTGTCTAGCCTACACTATTAACAGTCATTGCTTTGTTTGCAGAATGACATGAATTACATAGCATCCAGTGGACTTCTATTCAAAGATGGCAAAAAACGGATTGATTACATCCTGGTGTATAGAAAGTCAAATATACAATATGACAAAAGAAACACATTTGAAAAGAACCTCAGAGCCGAAGGCCTGATGTTGGAAAAGGAGGTAGGTGCTTTGATAACACTAGTTGTGTGGTAAAATATGCTGGAAGAGATATAATCTCATATGTTTTAATATGGGAAGTGTATACCACATGGCTTTATAAAATGTATGGTTATTTTCTCCCACATAAAAGAAATACATATGTACAGTCCCACTTAAATACGTATTCCTTTTTTACTTATACATTTCCGTAAATTTAAATATTTTTCAAAGGGCATAACTATTTTTACAGTTTTAAAAATTGAAGAAGGAATAATTATACCTATATAAAGTATAGAAAACCCTATGAAAAGAAAAATGTTAAAAGAAAAGAGTGCCAAGCTGTTAATGTCTGGGTTTCAATATTGGAATGAATGATTTGCTTCTCAATCCTTTTTTTTTAATGCTTTTATTTTTTTTTCAGACTTCATTTTTTAGGGTAGTTTTAGATCACAGCAAAATTGAGAGGAAGGTACAGAGATGTCCCATATGGCTCCTGCCCCCACACACCATCTCCCATTATCAACATCTCCCACCAGAGTGGTGCATTTGTTATAATTGATGAACCTACATAGACTCCTTATTGTCATCCAGAGTCCATAGTTTACATTAGTGTTTGCTCTTGATGTTGTACATTATGTGGGTTTGGGAAAATGTAACATGTATCCACCCTATAGAATTATGCAAAGTATTTTTACTGCCCTAAAAATCCCATGTGTTCTGCCTATACATCTCTCTGCCACCCTATTCATTCGCCTGTATAAGGGCATCTTGGTTGCTTCCAAGTTTGGGTAATTATGAATAAACCTGCTTTAAACATCCTAGTGCAGGTTTGTGCATGGACAGAAATTTTCAACTCTGAGTAAATATCAAGGAGTGGATTGCTGGATCATATGCTAAGAGTATGTTCATTTTTGCAAGAAACCTTCATAATGTCTTCCCAAATGGCTATACCATTTTGCACTCCCACCAGCAATAAATGACAGTTCCTGTTGTCCAATTCCTCACCAGCATTTGCTGTTGTCAGTATTCTGGATATTGGCCATTCTAATGGGTGTCTAGTGGTAAGCTCATTTTTTATTTGCATGTTCCTGATGGTGTATGAAGTAGAGCATCTTTTAATATGCTTATTTAATATGCTTATTTAATATGCTCACCTTTCTTGGTGAGGTGTATGTTAAGACTTTTGGCTTATTTTTAAATTGAGTTGTTTGTTTTCTTATTGTTGAGTTTTAAGAGTTCTTTGTATATTTTGGAATAGCAGTTCTTCATCAGATGTGTCTTTTGCAAGTATTTTCTCAGTTTGTTGCTTGTTTTATCATTTCCTTTGACATTGTCTTTCACAGAGTAGAAGCTCACTAGTTATTTTTTTATAGTTATTAATTGATCTTCAAATGTTGAACCAGCCTTGCATACTTAGGATAGATCCCAATTGGTTGTGGTATATAGTTCTTTTTATACATTGTTGGGTTCTATTTCCTAATATTTTGTTGAAGAATTTTGCATGTATGTTCATGAAAGATATTAGCCTGTAGTTTTTTGTTTTGTTTTGTTTTTGTTTTTGTTTTGTTTTTGTCTTTTTTTCTTGAAGTGCCTTTGTATTTTGGTAATAGTGCTGGCCTCATAGAATGAGTTAGGAAGTTTCCCCTCTACTTCTATACTCTGAAAAAGATTGTAGAAAATTGGCACAATTTCTTCCTCAGATGTTTGGTAGAAATCATCAGCGTACCCATCAGAGCCTGGTGCTTTCCGTTTGGGAAAGTTATTAGTTAATGATTCAGTTTATTTAATAGATATACATCTATTCAGGTTGTGTATTGTTTGCATGTGAGTTTTGGCAGATTATGTCTTTAAGTAAATTGGCTCATTTAATCTAGGCTGTCAAATGTGAGCATAGAGTAACCATAGTATTCCTTTATTAATCTTTTAGTTATAGCACAGTCCCCTCTTCCATTTCTGATATGGAAGATTTGTGTCTTCTCTCTATTTTTCCTACTAGGCTGACTAGAGGCTTATTGATTTACTGATCTATTCAAAGAACCAAACATTTCATCAATTTTTTTCTGTTGTTTTTTCTGTTTTCAGTTTTATTGATTTATGAAAGAATTCTATTTTATTGAAATATTGTTGAGCATAATGTTATAGTATGCTCTTATTCTTTTCTTCTGTTTACTTTGGATTGAAGTCGCTCTTTCTTTTTTTAGTTTCTTAAAATGAAAACTTAGATGATTAACTTTAAACCTTTCTTTTTTTTTTTAATATATGCAGTTAATGCTATAAATTTACCCCTAATCACAGTTTTCACTATACTTAAAGTTTACATAATTTAAACTTTGATAAATTATGTTTTTATTTTCATGTAGTACAAAATTATTTTTCCTCTCTGGAGCTTTCATATTTGTCCTATGTGTCATTTGTAAGAATGTCATTTAATCTGCATACATTTTGGGAATTTCCAGTTATCTTTCTGTTATTGGTTTCTAGGTTAATTCCACTGTGGTCTGAGAGCAGACAATGGATGGCTTCTCTTCTTTTAAATTTGTTAAGATGTGTTTTATGGCCCAGAATAATTAATCTTCTTGAATGGTCCATGTGAATTTGAGAAAAATGTACATTCTCTTGTTGTTGGATAAAGGAATCTATAGATGTCAATTACAATTATAGATGTCAATTACAGCAATGGTTGATTGATGGTGTTATTGAGTTCAACTATTTCCTTACTGGTCTTCTGCCTGTTGGATCTGTGTATTTCTGATACAGAAGTGTTGAAGTCTCCACCTGTGATAGTAATTCATTTGTTTCTCCCTGCAGTTCCGTCAGTTTTTGCCTCACATACTCTGGCATTCTTATCTGGTACATACACGTTAAGGATGGTTGTGTCTTCTCGGAGAAATGGCTCCTTTATCACTATGTGATGCCCTTCTTTATCCCTGACAACTTTTCTTTCCTTGAATGCTTTTCTTAAGTGTTCTTTACAGAATGTTGTATTTTTCTAGTGAAACAATAAAACTACTAATGCTTACTAGAAAAAAATGGAAAATAGAAAGGAGGTAAAAGCTTATTTTTCATACTCCTATTATCAAAAAAAAAACCTCTTGCTATTTTAGTTAAACTTCTAAGGTCTTAAAAACACATATTAAATACATATTTATCATGTTACAGAATGAAAACATCTTAATGTGAAAACTGAAAGTAAAAAAAAGTGCAAAATAAAAAGCCAAAGTTCACATCTACTATCTCCCAAATCATATTCTCTTATTTTTTAGTAGCCTTGTTAATGTCTTGATTTTATTTTGCTGCGTGTCCTAAGTATATTTTCTAGATATATACAAATATACATATATTTTTTAGAAAAATTAGTCATGATATGCATTATATTCTACTACTCAATTCTGTTATTTAACAATATATTATGAATATCTTAAATTGCCTTTATATTTAGATACAACTCATCTCTTTTACTAGGTGTATAGTATTACAACTTGGGGATTTAGTCAACCATTCCCCTATTCAGAGAAAAAAATTTTTTTTAATTTTTTTTACATTTATTTATTTTTGAGAAACAGAGAGAGACAGAGCACTAGTGGGGGAGGGGCAGAGAGAGACTGAGACACAGAATCTGAAGCAGACCCCAGGCTCCTAGATGTCAGCACCAGGCGTGACACAGGGCTCGAACTGTGAGATCATGACCTGAGCTAAAGTCGGACGCTTAACCAACTGAGCCACCCAGGGGCCCCAAGAAAAACTTTAAATTACATGTTTGAGGGACTCTTAATTTACTACAAGTGGGATTTAACTACTTTTCTAGAAAATTAGACGGACAAGGTGAAAAAATTTTGATGATTTCTTTGGTTAAACATCTAGATAATTTGCTAATAAGTGTTATCAATGGAATAGAATGCTCACTGTTACTTAGACGTGATATTGGAGCCCCCACTCTTTTTTTCCACAGGACTACTTCTGTGATTAGCCTTCTAAGAAACACATTAGGAAATACTGAACTATAACTTGAGATGGATCTAGAGAACTGATATGTTTATTAGCAATTTTTAATATATATAAAATAACAGTGCCTTGACTCTTTACAAGGTAAGGATTTATTCACACGCTGCCTAGTGTTACAAAATCGGGCAAGCTGACTTCTGGTCTCAATTTCTATTGATTCCTTTAGTTCTGTTTCCCTTTTTATGTCTCTTCTGGGAATTTTAACCCAGAATATCCATATCAGTGGACTAATTCAATCAATAAGTACTTATTACCAAAGTCTTATGAACTCAGTCTTGTAATAAGATTTTATTCTCCTGTGATTTCTCCTCCATACAACCAATCATTTCCTCATCTGTTCCAAGAGCAATTTATACATACATTCTATTATAATATTGATAGTTACTTTGCTCACATATCTCCAATTATTTATCAATTCAACAAATAATTGTGACAGGTACTATGCAAGCTACTAGGGATCCAATGAGTAAAGTAGACCTTGTCCCTGCCTTCACTGAACTTTCAGTCTACATGTGAGTCTGTCGTGACAATTGTGTAATTATGAAAGAGGTATGACTTGGCTCAGTCTCCAGCTAGTTTTCTTGGCAGTAAGTCCAGATTCTCTTCTGAGTCTTCCTCTCCCTTGTTCCTCCACCGTTTTCTTAGCAATAATACAGGATGTTATTCATCCAAACGGAGTCCTGTTCTGCTTTTAAAGGGCAGCCCATTCACCCTTGAGTTCTAACTCTTTAGTCGCTGCCAAGAGATTTTTTTTTAATTTTTTAATTTTTTGTTTTTATTTTTGTTTGGTCTAGATTGGCTCTCAGCAAGACAGTGTTTCTATGTGTACTGTTATTGCTGGGCTGACTTTTTAATTTTTTTTTTATTCTGGGTTCCACAATTGCAGCTCTTTTAGTTCATATTTATAGGTTTGGGATTTAGTTCCCATGATTCAATAAAGTATCATGACAGATGATCAGGAAGTATATTCATTCTCATCTGCACATTTCATTGAAATCAACCATCTCCACAAACTATAG